ACTAAAAAAAAGAAAAAATAATTTGTATTTCAAACTATTCATTAATCATTTGTGCTAAGATAATTCCACAACTCACCGAAACATTTAACGAACCAATTTGCTTATTTATTGGTATATAAACCTTTTGATCGCTTTTTTGGATGATTTTCTGTCTAATTCCTTGGCTTTCATTACCAAAAACTAGACAAGTGGGAGAATTAAGTTTTATTTTCTTGTAATTTTGTGCTTCCGGATGACAGACCGCCGAAATGATTTGATAATTAGCTTTTTTTAACTCATTAAGAACCACCAGCAGATTACTAACTTGACAAACTGGAACATAAGCCGCTCCGCCCATAGAAACTTTTACTACTGTGCTATTAATTTGAACTTGATTTTTAGTAGCAATAATTACTCCATCAATTTTTAAAGCGGCACAAGTGCGTAAAATGGCTCCAAAATTATGGGGATCTTCCACACCATCCAACATAACTAACAAAGGAAAACGATAATTTGGCTTCATCCTCAAAAGAGAAGACAAACCGATATAATTATATTCACGAATAAAGGCTACAATACCTTGATTTTTTTTGTCAAAACTGTAACGGGAAAAATCATTTTTATTTAGTAGTTGGTAAGGAATATTCTTTTTTTCAATCGAATTAATTAATTGTTTATCATTCTTGTACTTGTCCTCCAAAAGTAGAATTTTTTTCAGTTGAAAATAGGGAGAATTTATTAAACTGCGGACCGTATGATTACCGAAAACAAGAAAAGTCATTTAAATAAATTTTTCGTTTTCTAAATTAGTTAAATTTTAAATGCGGTGCTTTGAAAAGATAAAAAAATTGATGACCGTCAGTAAAAATATTAATATATGACTACGAAAGCACTAATGGAAAAAGCCAAACGAACTCCAAAGTATTCAGTAAGAAAACAAACTCGCTGTTTTAATTGCGGTCGTGCCCGCTCGGTTTTCCGTAAGTTTTTATTATGTCGCCTTTGCTTTCGGTTGTTTGTTTACCGAGGATGAATACCGGGTTTTCGTAAAGTTTAGGACGATGTTTTTAACAATTGAAAACAAGGAAGCAATTGTCGAAAATTAGTTAAGAACCTTATTTTTTGGGGGAAATTAATTCCCGGTTGGGAAATTTGATGAAAATCTTCATAAACAAAATAATTAGGAAATTGTTTTTTAATTTGATTTAACTCTTTGCTATTAACATTTAAGTCAATTTCTTTTGGCTTAACCAAACATTTAGTCTTTTGATAAACCGCTACATGATACTTAGTTTTTTTTAGG